TACTTCAAAATTTACTTGCATTATTTACCAAATGATTTTCACTGCCAACTTTATTTGCCTTTTTACCCTATATATATTTTATATATACTGTATATATAAAGATAGCTGATGAACTGTGATAATTATTTAGCCCAATGCAGCTAGACAATGTAGTTTGTTCTCAAATCACTAGCATAGCAGTTCACAGAGACACAATAGTGTTTTTTAAAAGAATATGCCTATACTTTTGCTTTTTTAAAAAAAAAATGCCCAAATGACCTCAAATACATAGTGAGTATGAAATGTTCTTATAGTCCTAACAGTTCAAGCAAAGACCAGACAAAGGGTCAACCAAGACCAAATTGTATTATTTAAAGGCTTCAATTAAACAACAATTAAAGGATTTGCTGGGTCAGGAGGTTAAGAGCATTAAATAGCCACCGCCTTCTGAATAATACACATCGAAAGGAGACTGAGGTGGTTATCTTACCAGTGGCTGTGTAACAGAATGACCACTTGGGATTGGATCTATGCTACTGGAGTATTGTGCTTGATAGTATTGTTCAATATTGTGAAAGTTATAGACTGGAATTACAATGTTATAAATGTTCAACTCTACTGCTGTGGAAAATACTTAATGGTATTTGTTTGGGTTTATTGATTCACAAACGCTTCAATGATGAGTAATCTTCTGAACCACAGCATTAGATTTTGTATAATTTAGACTGTTGTTTAGCAGTATTTCAGTATTCACAGGTAGTGCTAATTGTATGCTTCTCTCTTAGTAAAATAAAGCAGCAAAATAGTAGTCTTCTTATTGGCGAAATAGTTTAGTCAATTTAACTAATATTTGCTGTGTCCAATTGTAATAGTTGTTTTATGATATGTAATTTAAATGTCATAAAATGAGGGTAAAACTATATTAAAAGCCAGAATCCCAGTAAAATTATTTCACCTATATTATACAGTACTTTGGAAACCAAGATATTTGGAATATGCAAACTCAATAGCAATAACTGTATGATATGACTTTAACTCAGATGTGATCAGAATTGTGTATGTGAATTGTACAAAACCTTAAGCTCCTATTCTCACAATTCCAGTCCAGATATAATTTTTGAGTCTGTGGTTAAACAATCAAAAAATGCAATTCAAAATTCAGTGTTCAAGACTTAACTCTTTGACCATGCTTTCAATCATATTTTCCCCTCCCAACACCAGCTCAGGTGCAAAGCACTTTGCAACAACATGCTGACATGAAAAGCTCTATATAAATGCAAAATTACATTGTATTTTGGACCCTGTTATGAGCATTATACAATAATGAAATAAAATCTGGACCACATCCTACTAATATAGAAAACATGTGCACCCATTAATCCTCAAGTGCATGTTTTTCCAATCTGCATATTCGGTCGTTCTATATGTGTCTGATTCACTCTTTATATTTACTGAAAACTGTTGGGTAAAGAAGAAATCAAACAGTGAATAATAATAATAATAATAATAATCCTTGCATTTGATATAGCGCTTTTCACGTCGGGAGGACGTCCCAAAGCGCTTCACAGAACATACTGTAAAGTGAATTGACTGTATATTTGTGGGCGAACGCGGCAGCCAATTGCGCACAGCAATGTCCCACAAACAGTAATAATAATTGAAGATGTGCTTGGTTTATTTTGTAATAATAATAATAATCCTTGCATTTGACATAGCTCTTTGTCATGTGGTTGAGAGATCGCAAAGCATTTCGCAGAATATATTGCAAATTGGATTGACTATATTTTGTGGGCGAAATTTTTTTTATACATGTTATAGGCTGTATTTTGTAGCTGAAATAGAAATGTGGAATCTGGTATAAACTGGTGAGGTTTATTTTTATTGACAAAAAAATGAACCTAAACCCTAATAGTCACTGAAGATTTGGATTTCCTCTGTGAGACCTCTCTCTCTCTGTCTCTCTCTCCCTCTCTCTCTGTTGTGAAGATGCTTGTGTGAAATAATATTCCATTGGCTTAAAAAGCTAATACATATGAAGGAAAACATTAAACAGCAATTCTAAAAAAAAACTGACGTTTTAATTATTGAAACCAGATTAAAGTTCAGAATATATTATCAATTGTATCACATGGACTTGAAAGGATGAAATAAATTGAAAATCTTTTCATGTTGTCATTTTGCAGTAATCAAATTCCATCCTTCCTTCAACAGCTGCAGTTAAGAACCTTTCAAACAAATCCTATACCGATCTGGGACGCACACTTCCTAATTCTGCTTGCACTTTAATGTGTTTTTATCACAGTGGTCAGTTACATATTCACACACAGAGATACAGGTTTGCACTGTGAGTTACGAATCCTACTACGTTACAAAGAGGATGTGCCAAGGGGAAGCAAAGTGTTAGTGGGAGGAATTGAAAACTATAGATTGAGTTGCTTTAAGCATACCTCTTAGTGCCATCTCTGAAACAGTATAAACTGTGGCCTAAGTGTTGTGGATTAGCAAATCTTCAACTGGAGTGTACACAATAAACCTAAAGAAGGGAAAGAAATGAATTTTAAAAATTGGCGATAGGGGAAGACGAGCATATTTTATTTTTGCTGCACGTTCTCGTCAACTTCAGTATTAAACTGATGATGAATTAAAAACATAATCATATATATGATATTTTGGTTAATTAGCTGATGCATTGAATTAAATGAAGGCCTTTTAACTAGAGCCCAGGATGATGTTTCAGAAAGTGAACATGTTTATGGACATCAGTGAAGAACGGTATTGCAGGACCAGCAATCTGGAGTTCAAAGGCAGCTGACAGATGTGCTGTGTGTGTGTGAGGTGGGGGGTATGACCTTAGCAGAGAGCATCAATTGACAAAAAGCATTGTAAATCCTGTAGCTTAGTGGTTAGAGCACTCGCCTTGTACATGAGAAGATCTGGGTTTGATTCCCAAGAGGGCGAAATATTGGGCAAGTTTCCTCACTCTACACATCTCTGTTTACTTAGCAGTAACTTAGGACCCGGTTGTTAGTTGATGGTTTAGAATAATAATTTGGTCACTCAATCCACCAGTGTTTATGTGACACTGTTGTGTGCAATTGGCTATTGTGTTTCGCCCACAAAATATACAGTCAATTCACATCACAGTATATTCTGACATCTCGAAGACGTGATAAGGCTCTGTATCAAATGCAAGAATCATTATTATATAAACCACAGAAGGAGGGGAAATAGAAAAATAAAATATTTACTTGAAGACTATATTAGTGTCTGAAAAACCTGCTACAAATCTGTTTGTTTCGCAAATATTGATCAAAAGTCAAAATATAATTTGTTTTATTTTTATTAATAATTATGAGTACTTGAACTGCAATTGAAGGGCGTTCATCTTTGGGATTTTTCACTGAACGTTTTTGTTCCCAAGATGGGGCTGGACTGGGTTGGCTGTTTTTGAATCTCTGCGGAAGTTACTATAGTCAGGTGCACCTTAAGGTGTGTGAATGAATCAGCAATGGCATCTCTGTCTAACCTTTCCTCCGCGCTGCAGGGAGACATTGTGCCTTCTGCCTCATACCTGCCTCCTTATGGTAGGTCTGATTTTGAACTGAGCACAGTGTGGGCTGCATTCATGCTCCAACACCCCGTAAAAGTGCACCAGACGATAACAAATTACCCTCATAATAATAACGATGATAATTCTTGCATTCAATCCAGCAACTATAACACTGGAACTCCTTCGTTAGTGATTCACAGTAATTACTGTGCATTTGTTGGCAAACGCGTATTAAAAACTAACACATACAATAAAAATAAAAACAAGATTTATTTTTCTTTTCTCCACCTCGTCCCCTCCTTCCCCATCTTCGTACCTGAAGTACTTCCTCTTCGACCGTGCCTATGGTCACCTCCCCCCTGCTCAGGGTCTTGCTCCGCCACTGTCAAGCGCTCTGGGATGCTACCCTGCATGAGGGGTCCTATATATATTCAAGTTGTTGTTGTTGATTTCATTGCCTTAATTGAATTAAGTGGATTTGGTCAATTGCATTAAGCCTTTTTGATTTCATAATGCAGGAAAATCTGAATTGAGAGTGCTATGAGTCTATGCGACACATAAAAGGCAGTAATATAAAATAATAATAATCCTTGCATTTCATATAGCGCTTTTCACATCTTCTAGACGTCTCAAAGCGCTTCACAGAATAAACTGTAAAGTGAATTGATTGTATATTTGTGGACGAAACGCAACAGCCAATTGCGCACAGCAGTGTCCCACAAACAGTCGTGGATTGAAGTGACCAATTGTATTAATGTTTTTAGTCTACAGTACTACAGTAACAGTTCACAATCCTGATTAGTTTTAAAGAATGCAGCTATACATTATCCAGTGTAACAGAACCATACTGAGAGAATAATATAATAATCCTTGCATTTGATATAGCGCTTTTCAGGTCTTCTCGACATCTCAAAGCGCTTCACAGAATAGACTGTAAAGCGAATTGACCGTATAATTTGCGGGCGAAATGATGTTGAATGAGTATCACAGAAGGCCTGCCCTTTCATGTTCTGACATGGCTCAGACTTATTCAACTTCTTAAGACCAAAGCAATCTGTTCCATTCATAATGGTTATGATCACACAATAACTCACATCCAAACATGGGACCATCTGTTGTTGCAAGAGTAGGAAAATTGCTGTTCGAAAACTCCTTCTTCTGATTCCACATTAATGTGCTGATTCTTAAATGTATTAATTCATGTCAAAGACATTTTTTTTCTATACTGTTGCATTTATATACGTTTGAAGAACACCACTTCCAAGTAATTTTAAAGGAATTTTGGAACGCATATCTTGATTTTGAATAAATATCTCAAAAATTTAAATCCATAATTTCCTGAAGAATGCAGAATCAGTGCAAACTTTTTTTAAAAAATCAAAAAGCATTCCCATGTGCATCATACAGAATTTGACTGTAAAGTCAAATACATTTTCAATAAAGCTGATAACACATGTTTCTTTGTCAACAGATTACTGCAGATATCTTGCCTTTGACTAATTCGGAATCCTTCTGATAACGCCTCCAGGTTTGTTGGCAAGGTCTCTTGAGTCTCTGTCCTAAAGCTCCACCATCTGGTGTCATTGGAAACTGAAAGTTAACAGTCAATGATTTCAAAGGCAAATTTAGGAGACGAGTTGTGTTCTTTTTCAAACCGATTTTATAAGAGTCTCTGGGGTCTAACATGCAATATTTGCAAACTGAACCTGAGTTGCTAATCGTGACATTCCATGTGCAAATATTGGATTTCAGATGGAGTGCCTGCAAAGGTTAATAAGCAAAGTGCCTGCCATTTTTAGTGGGTTTGTGGTATTATTAGAAACATAGAAAGGGAAGAAGGCCATTCAGCCCATCAAGACTGCTCTGCCAATTTCTTGGATCATGATTGATCTATAACTCAATACCATTTGTCTTGCCTTTTCTCCATAACCCCTGATCCCCTGATTACCAAAATATCTATCTACTTCCCTCTAAAGTTGACTCTGTAAGAACAGTCCTTCAAGGTGTTAAGCTGCTTCAGATGACAGCACTTTCACCTTTTGAGTCAGAAGATTGTGGGTTCAAGACGTTTTGATGAAGTAATAAGGTGCTACATCATATGTAAGGATTATTCTATTCATTATTTGAGGAAGTTAATTTACAAATCCCACAATTCTATGAGCAAAGAAATATCTTCTGACTTCACTTCGTACAGGTCTGGCTCTGATTTTCAGATTGTGCCCTCTTTATTGTGGATTTTACAATAATAGGAAAGAGGTCCATTTAGTTTGCCTCCCACCATCCTGACTGTCCACTGTTCTTTCAGCATGAGATTAATCTATTTATTATCAGGTCTGGGACTGCACAGGATATGCAGAAATAATAAGGTGAATGCAGAAGTCATTGAAAACAAGCATGGCTGTAACCGAATACAGGAAAACATTACCATCACTTGATCTAAATATTCTGCATAGATTTATGCAAAGGTTGCTTGTGTCATGAACCACTACTTTTCTGTCGCTGTACCTAAATATATCTTGTGAGAGCTATCAACTGTGCTTAAATGCAGTAATAAGATGTCTGTTGATTTGCTAATGTGCTATCACACACAGCTTCAATTACAAGGTTCATTTGCCAAATATTAACGTTGTTTGGCCGCCCAAGGCTTTGCTGTCCTCTGTCCTTTGTGGAGAGGAATTAAGGTCCAATGGTGTACTTCTGACACTGTTAAAGAAAACAAGGTCTGCCTTAAAGCCACCCTCTGTTATATAATAATAATAATAATCCATGCATTTGATATAGCACCTTATCACGTTGTTGAGATGTCTCGAAGCGCTTCACAGAACATACTCTAAAATAAATTGACTGTATATTTTGTGGGCAAAATGCGGCAGCCAATTGCGCACAGCAGTGTCCCAAAATTATCGTGGATTGAGCGACTACATTTTTTTTAAGAGGATTATTACCCCCAGAAAAGCAATCCGCAAATCGACTAACAATCGGGTTCCTACTTACTGTTAGGTAAATTGAGGGGAACCCGGGTCCCCTCGCTTGCAAGGCGAGTGCCCTAACCAGTACGTTACAGGACTTCTTATGTTGTACTATATTGTAATAATTCACATCCAATGTTCACTGTTTGTTACTGTAGACTCTGCAGGGTAATTTAACCATTCACCTCGCCTTAGGATGAAAGATAATTTTATTCTTAAATTTTAAAATCGGGTAGAACTGTAGTCCTGTTGCTCAGTGGTTAGAGCACTCGCTTTGCAAGTGAGACCTGAGTTCAATTCCAGGCAGAGGGCGAAACCTTGGGCAAGTTTCCTTACTCCACACAGAGCCTAATAATAATCCCTCCAAAACCAAAAACAATAATAAATTGGTCATTTTTAATCTACGACTGTTTGTGGGACATTGCTGTGCGCAATTGGCTGCCGCGTTCGCCCACAAATATACAGTCAATTCACTTTACAGTATATTCTGTGAAGCGCTTTGGGACGTCCTCCCGACGTGAAAAGCGCTATATCAAATGCAAGGATTATTATTATTATTATTATAGAACTGTAGAAAATCCTACGTTCAGTCAAAATTTGGAATCTGGTTTCCTGCCGTCCTTAAAAACTAGCTTCCAGATTTAACACTGAACTTAAGATATTTCCACAGTCAGATTTTAAGAATGAACGGCTTTGCAGAGTAAAACCAGGTGGAATTTCGGGTCTTTGTTAGGCATCAAGTCCTCATTACATGTGTCACTTTATTTTGATATTTTATAAATATCAGTGTAGCGAGACTTGTCAGTGCTCCTTTTTGCCAGAGGGATGATCTTGTGTCTCAATGCAAGATAGTCTGTAAATAAATTTGAACAGCTGTCCACGCAGTTATATAAACAATATCCACTTTCAGAAGGTCTTGCCAGGACACAGGTGCTGTTAAGTCCCATAAACTTGGGAGAGAGAGACTTTAAGAAGAAACTGGAACTTATTTTACTGAAATGAAAGGATGGATAGGAGACTTGATAGAGGTGTTCAAAACTACGATAAGGGAAATTGAGTTGTTAACCAGGCCATCAACAACAATAACCTCAACAACTTGCATTTATATAGTGCCCCAGATGCAGGATAGCATCCCAGAGTGCTTAAATCTAACGCAAAGAGGGAAATTTTTTAAAGATCTTCTCACAAATATGGGTGTTTTGACATTGAATGCCTTACTAAAATGGTAACTGAAGCGGTATCTTTATAAGGAGATTAGACAAACAAACGTTTGAAAAAGAGAAGTATAAAGGAGTATTGGGTAAAGGAGAACGAAGCAGGATTAATGGATTGATCTTTCTGGCACTGACGCAATGGGGCTTTTTTTTTTGGTGTACAATTGATTCTCTAACCTGAGCACCGTTGTGTTTATATGTTCCTCAAGATAGATGTAGTCACCCAGTGGGAAATACAGTGATGGCCTCCTGTGGTGCTATGTTCTCTCAGGAGAATGAGTCAAATTTGTTGTTATTTGGGATTTTGTAATTTATAGCTTGAATTTGGCAACTGCGCTTGGGTTTAACTTCAGGATAACCAAATGATGTGCCTTTTTTAAAAAAAAAATAAAATCCTAAATCCCGAAGAGAAGAAAATCCTCAATCTTAATGGGTTAGACTAGAGGAACATGCTCACATTGAGGATTTTGTCAAATGGAGATGGGTCAAATTGAAGGAGGTGACATTTTCCTTTCAGTTGTGAAATTACATTTGGAGAATATGGAAATGAATGGATTCTGTTTATGCAATCTAAACATTAGTAGGCATTCTCCCATACGGTGCCTTATAGCTTAAACTATAAGCATGGATTCCTGTAGCATAGTGGTTAGCAAGCAAGAGGACCTGGGTTTGATTCCCGGGCAGGGCAAACCTTCGGCAGGTTTCCGTTCTCCACACGCTTCTGTTAACCTCGCAGCAAGTAGGAATCCTGCTGTTAGGCAATTGGCGAATTGCTTTCTGGGGGTAATAATACCTCCAAAAAAATAAATTTGTCACTCGATCCACGACTGTTTGTAGGACACTGCTGTGCGCAATTCGCTGCTGTGTTTCACCCACAAAATCCACAGCAAATCCACTTTGCAGTATATGCTCTAATGTGCTTTGAGAGGTCTCAACGACGTTTGATACATTTGATATAGCGCTTTTCACGTCTTTGTGGACGAAACGCGGCAGCCAATTGCTCACAGCAGTGTCCCACAAACAGTCATGGATTGAAGTGACCAATTTATTCGTTTTTTTTTCTAGAGAGATTATTATCAGGCGTGTGGAGTAAGGAAACTTGCCCAAGGTTTTGCCCTGCCGGGAATTGAACCCAGGTCTCTTGCTTGCGAGGCGAATGCTCTAACCACTGAGCCACAGGACTCCACAAATGCAAATATATCAAATGCAAGGATTATTATTATTATTAAACTGTGGCACTTCAGGGCACATCTGGCGGTTCGAACATTCTCCAGCTATTTGAGACACTGTGGGAGTTTTCTTTTCCTTGCAGCACATTTGTTTAGAAGGGCTAAGTCCTCAGCTGCTCCTTTCAGCATGTTCCTATGTGTTTATAAATAACTCCTAACGTGCTCTTCTGATGGCTTCCTGTTTCCAGACACTGCTGGGTGCCTTCAAACCCATGCAGACCAGAAGGCTGTTGGTTCTAATCCCAATCTGTGAAGAGTTAAGTGATTTAAGATGAGCAGGAGTTTGGGCAGTAGTTCTCAGCACCCTATGGACAGGGAGAGGAAATCAGTCATTATTCCATTCACTGCAGACACCTCTACTAGGAGACAGGTGTGGACCTCAGGTGAGGGCAAGGAGGCCTGAAATTCCACTTGTTCTTAGCCTGTAAGATTCTTGTTTTTTTTCGTCTAAAGTTACTTTCAGTGCAGAATTGTGGAAAATTCTTAAATTCAGTCTTATTTTGGAAACTGGTTCTCTTGGGGTGGGGGGTGGGGGGGGGGGGGATTTACAGAAAACTAGGATCCAAATTAAGATGCGGTTAAGAATTGAGAACAATTCTGCACAATTTTAAGACAATGATTTTATAGCCTAAAATACAGAGGGGTTTTGAGGAGAGCATCGGGCTCAACTTTGATGGCCACCTGTGGTTGGGTGGTGTAGTAACACATTGTCGGGGTTGCACAATAATAATAGACATCTGAGAGGCATCTGGCACCCATCAAAAACAATGTCTTCAGGAGAAAGGAGACAAATCAGGCTAGAAAAAAACTCTATAAAACAATTTAAAATATAAATAAGATGATATTAAAGCTATAAAGTTATATTATATTTTAAAGTTGCATTACATTTATTCCGATAGAGTCAAAATCACTGAACTTGCTCTAATCATACTTAGAGCCTTCTTCATCCGTACTGCTCTTGCAAATCAATTTGTGGTTAGAGATACCACTAGATTTGTTCAATTAGCGTAGGATTCTTAAATCCTTAAATCCAGTTTTAATTTTGTAGCTTATATTGATGGCCTACAAAATGCACTACACTTTCCAGTAAATTATGTGCAGCTCTTTGAGATGTTCTCCTGACCCGAAAGGTGCTACATCAAAGGATTATAATTATTATTAAGCTGCTTTTCTGTACGTTTCCTTGAGGAACTGTATAAAAAAAAAGGCTTTAAAGTTAAAACTGAATTCAACAATTTGCCAAATTCCGCACACAACCAACAACAACAACAACAACAACAAGATTCCATTTATAGAGCGCCTTTCACGTCAGGAGGACGTCCCAAGGCGTCCCACACTGAAATGCTACGTTTTCTAGAGTTAAATCTAGACCCAGGTGGAATTTTACCAATTGGTTTGTTCAAAGGAAGTAGATGTACATATGTGCCATCATGTGGCTATAGGGTAGAATTACAATTAAACTTCACCATTTTAAAAAATCTTATTTCTGAGTGGAGATACAAGTTTGATTTTTTTAAAGTTAAGCAAGATTGGCTATGTTTCAATTATTATTGAGAAGACTAAAAAAAACCTATAGAATTATGAAAATTATTTAAAATACAATCAACGATTTAATAGTGGAGTCCGGTAGCTCAGTGGTTAGAGCACTCGCTTTGCAAGCGAGAGACCTGAGTTCAATTCCAGGCAGAGGACGAAACCTTGGGCAAGTTTCCTTACTCCACACGCGTGATAATAATCCCTCCCAAACCAAAAAACAATAATAAATTGGTCATTTTCAACCTACGACTGTTTGTGGGACATTGCTGTGCGCAATTGGCTGCCGCGTTCGCCCACAAATATACAGTCAATTCACTTTACAGTGAGTTCTGTGGAACGCTTCGGGACGTCCTCCCGACGTGAAAAGCGCTATATCAAATGCAAGGATTATTATTATTATTAATTGTAGAATAATGTTGTGTTTGCATGTGAAATTGGCAATTGTAATCCTTATATTGTGTTCATTTTTAGAAGTTCTTTGATAAATCGTGTTTAACAAATACCATAACTAAGTCTTAGTTCACAAATGAAGTCTGTCAAATGGGAAGTTAAATTGAGGTCCTAACTGTCTGTTCAGGTGGATATTAAAGATCCCATGGCACGGCTCAAAAGTTGAAGGGAATTTCTTTTGGTATGCTGGCCAGCAATCTTCCAGATAAAAAATTATCATTCACTTCATTGCTGTTTTTAGGACACTGCTGTATGAAAATTGACAGCTGTATTTGAGAAAAATACACAGTCGCTGAACTTCATAGTAAACCTCTGAAGCAATTTCATATTTCAACCACTTGATGAAGCGCTATCACAAAATAGCCCTAATTTCTTTCTGTACATTGAACATCCAATACATTTAACAATATAATATGGTAATTATTATTGGCCTGTATAGGGATTAACAAATTTATGCATCCAGACTTTTTGTCTGAAATACGTTTCTAGTTTGGTTGATTTTCGTTGAATTTCAGCTGCTGAGGAAAGTAACTAATACTGTACTTTCATATAAACTATCAGGATAGTGTGTGCTTCTACGTGGTTACTGATGCATGATTCGCATTTAGAAAATGCTGAACCAGTCAAACAAAGTGCACAATGTCTGTATCACTACCCTATGAACACATGCATATTTAAATACTTTTGAAAACAAAATTAAACATTAATGACCCATAAAAGACATAATATATAGAGCATTGTTTTTCTTTGGAACTTTGCAAGCTTACTGGTAAAGTGGCTTGTCCTAAGGTTTATCTGGGGACAAAGGTCTATAGAAGTCATTTGTTAGTTATACTGAGTTCTCAGCTCCTAAATATTAATATTGCACATTTAGTCTACTACCATTGACCCATTATTTCCTTGTTGAAAGGACATCAAGGAGCTTTCCAAATGCAAATATCAGTTACAGTAGAACAGGTTGGAGTATTTTCTGCAGTTACAATGAATGAATTAATCCATAAATTGCTTTACTTATGTGGCTATTTTTTTCATTGTATTGTTTAAAGTGTTAAACCCGTTTCAGTGATGGAGGGAAAAAATAACACATTCTACACAAAATTTTTAAAATATGATAATCAAAGTTGAACAAAACGCTTTTTGTATCTGATATTTACTGTGGGAAGGAGAAGGGCAAAGTTTTTTCAGTGGATTGCATTCTAAGCACTTAGTTATAAAAGTAACGTGTTATGTGTAGACAGCTTGGCACAGTTGGTAGCACTCTCATCTCTATCAGAAGGTTGTAGGTTCCAGCGCTTTGGGACGTCCTCCCGATGTGAAAGGCACTATACAAATGTGATGTGTTGTTGTTGTTCAATCCCCAAGTTGGCACTTTGAGCTCAGTCTAGGCTGACACTCCAGAGCAGTGATGGAGGGAGTGCTGCATTTTCGAAGGTACCATCCTTCAGTCAGGTGTTAAACCGAGGTCCCATCTGCCTGTTTAGGCGGATGTTAAATATCCTGTGACACTGTTGGAAAAGAGAAAGAAGTTCCTTCTGGTGTTTTGGCCAACAGTCCCCCTCACCCCCATAAAATTGGCCATTCATTTCATGGGTGTTTGTGGGATTTTGCTGTCTGTCACGTTCATCTGCAACATAAAGTAACTATATTTTCCAATAAATCCTGTGAAACGCTTTGAGGTGTTTCAACGATGTGATAAGGTGTTATATTAAATGTAAGGATGGTTTATTATTATTACACCTGGTTAGAGGCATCTAATTTTTCTTTTTTTTCTCCTTTCAGCACCACCAAGATCCGGGACTGAATTTGAAAGGTTCTGGTGAGTTCTGAGTTGTTCGCTGCAGAAATTGAACTCCCTAGATTTTTGGGGACCAAATTAAATATACTATTTATTGACCAACTAAGTGAATGTGCTAAGTGTCCCACTAGCACAAGCGTGGCTAGAACATGGGTTGGAATTTAATTGACTCCCAACATTACTTTATAATTGGGCTCCAGTGTAATAACCATCTTCCCTTTCTCCATCTTCAGGTCTCGCCTGCATGAGGAACGCTATATAAATGGAAGTTGTTGTTGTAACATTTATTATATTTATGAGAGCCTTCATATCTAGCAACTGCTCCTCTCCTGACTGACTTGCTCTCATGAGTTGCTATCAATGGGTCTAAGTTAACACTGTTACTGAATCTCAAAAACCTTCATTTAGTGAAGTGCCGGGAGCCAAATTCCAACTGTGCTAAATGCATCAATTTACAGGTAGTGCTGAGTGTATCTGACTTCACGTTACACACAATGGGTGTGTGCAATGGGTAAACTATAGGTAAACATATGTGCACAGAGGGAATTACAGATGGTCTTAATTATGTCATTTGTGCATATTTACTGCCAAAGGAGACCTAATTCGAACTCCAAAGACTATTTCTTCCACTCTTCTCTCTCTGCATGACTATCAATTTTCAATATGTAAGAGAGATCCAGTGCAGGGAGAGGGCAGTCGGGGTGGAGAGAATGCAGTGCTCCTGCTTTTCCTTCTTATCTCCCCCCTCCCCTGACTTCAACCCATTATATTTGCACTGGGATAGTCTATCACACAAGTGAAAGGTTCGGCTGCACTGTTTTCTCGAACGGAATATAGAAATAGCTTTGCCCCAGTGTGTGAGAATGTCACAATTTGTCACATTTTCTGGGACAGAGAAAGTGGGACATTAGGCAGTGGATGTGATTCTATCAGTTTGGCTTTCACCACAGTCTGAAGTAGTATAAAATGTACACATTAATCACTTTATTTTCCAAGTTTACCTGAATGTTTGTGTGGGTTCACGTGGGATTGCATTATAGCTAGTGTGTTCCTTTAAAATATATTCTGAAATAACCTTGATTGAGAATGGGGTCAGATGGAGTGAAGAACTAAACTGTTGGTTTTAGAGAATTACATTTAGCAATATTCAGAAATCTTTTTGAATATTTGTGTTTGATGTGATAAAATGACTTGACACATCCTCATTGAAAAATGCTTGAATGCATAAAGAACCTATGTTATTATAGTATTGGTTAAAATAATGTTGCTGGCTATAAAATAATTTTTTTTTCGCATGCAGCTATGAGCTGTTACGTCCAACTGTGAGGCTGTGAGTGAAATTTTAATCAATGTCATCTTTTATTTACTTTATTAGTGAAATTAATGAAACACTCTGTATTTTTTGTTTATTGCTTATGAAAACTGTCCATCAGCTGCACAGTGAGAAAGTCCTTCAGGATACATTGGCTTCACACGTCAGACAAGGATGTACAGTATCTCGTCTGTGTTGTAAAAAAAAATGGGAAAGGGCAAATTGCTTCTAATTATAGATTAAACTGCAAGACATGGATATCAAAGGACATTGTACAGAGACATAATGGAGGTATCGTTTGCCACCTGGGTGAAGTAAAAGGGGAGCTATTAAATATTGTTTCCCAGTTTTATTTTTGAACACGTTTCTTGTCAACACATGATGCATTAATGCTACTAATTGATTGTGCATTTTCAAATATCACCTTTTATTTTTTCATTCCTTTTCTGGTGTTCCAATCTATGAAGGAGTTTTGATCTAGTCCTGTACTCCAGCCTAGTGTTGAGGTACCACAGCCTTGTCAGAGGTGCCGTCCTTTGGATAAGATGCTACATTGAGGTCCTGTCTGCCTATTCCGGTGGATGTTAAAGATATCTTGGCACTACTCAAAGCTTCTCCCAGTGTTCTGGCCAACAATCCCCCCAAATAATATTGGCTGTTTGTGGGACATTGCTGTGATCAAATTGGCTGCTGCATTCACCTGCAAAATAGGGTCACGACACATTATAGTATTTAACAAAATATTAAAGTACCACACTGCCAAATTTATTCTATATTTTCCACTATATCAAACGCCGATTTTACAAAGCATCGATGTGTAGTTTTGAGTGAATTTGCAAAAAGAATAAAGGTACATGAGGCAATTAAAATGCCTTTTTTAAATAAGATTTTATGTACTTAAATAATATAATTTCGAAGCAAGCGCACACATGGCAAGGGTAATGGAGGTCAAAATGAACAGGGGGAAAATTACTTCAGGATAGAGCTTCATTATCAAATGCACTTGCAGAATTGTAAAGAGACATCTGACTAATCTTCAAAGTGACAACTGCTAATTATAAGCAGATGTTTGGGAAAGCTTCCTTTTCAAGTATTAAAATAAAAAATAATAATTTGGTCACCCAATCCACGACTGTTTGTGGGACACTATGTGCAATTGGCTGCTGCATTTTGCCCACACAATGTATAGTCAATTCACTTTACAGTATAAGCTGAAGTGTTTTGAGACATCTCAAAGATGTGATAAGGCGCTATATCAAACGCAGGGATTTTTTTAATATAAGCCTGAAACTTGGAATCTGAACGATGAATGATTTTGAATGTTCACAATAAAATTAATTCTTTAGCCTAACTAGAATTATAGCTGAAATTAAAACAGTCACCCACAGGGGCGAGAACCTTTAAATGTCTATAATAGCAACAATAGCACTCTGGCAAAAATCCTTTAGGTGGAAGTTTAACAAACAAGATAAGTACTATCTGTGGTGTGTTACTTACTTGTCACTGTGAATTTCATGCCAGGAGAAAGTCAATTTAATAAGCAATCTTCTCCTTATGTAGAATTGATGCAGCTGCTTTTCTGAGTAAGGTCTTCTCAGAGAATCTCCGCAGAGAGAAAGCTGGTCTTCGTTTCAGGCAACAGTTACATTTATGTTTTCAATCACATTCAAAACTATTCAAATGATCGAGATGATAAATCCTCTTCATGTCACTGACCAGCTATAAAATCAATCCCGACATTGATCATTCTTTAAAAAGGGATGAAGGAATAAAACACACGCAGCTAATAAGATAATAAGCATTGTCTAATCTACATTAGGGCAAAAATGGACTTAGGTAAGATACTCATTTCCAACTCAGTTGGATTTCTTTCAACTGCTACTGCTGATAAATACTACATATTCAAACAGTTATATAGTGAGATTCAGTAGCAGGAAGTGCAAATTGTAACCATAACAACTTGCACCAAATGAGGGCTGTTGAGCTTTCTTTCATGTTAGTAACAAAGAACAAAGCGCATTGGTGTTGCACAGCTGAAACAATGCAACAATTTGGCTCCATCCTAGATTTGCAAAGATATTACCAGGGATGAGTGGATGCAGTTGTCAAGATTGGACAGGGTATGGCTGGTTTCTCTGGAGTTGAAACAACTAAGAGAGGACCTAATAAATGTGATTATGATTATGAAATGATTTGATAAGGTGGATATCGATGGGGTGTTTTCACTCTATATTCTGCTACAGGCTTTGATTTCATTTGTATCATTTGTAATGGTGTCCCTTCATTTTCACCGATGTTTCATCTATGTTACATAACAAAAATATCTGTTAAACCGGTTATTATACTCTTTAATATGAGTCAGTATCTAGAGGGCTTCTTTAAGACATTGTTCGTTTCTGCTAATTCATTATTTGTTCTTATTAAGTGATTAAACCATAAGTAACTGGACAACTGGCCTAAATTATAATCTAAAGAGGCTGTTTCACTTATTTATCTAGGTGTATGTATTCTTTATAAGACATGTCCGTTGAAGCTTAGGTGTAGGTATCATTTAATTAATTCACATTAATTTTTAAATTTCACAATTTGAAATGTTTTGATAATTGAAGGAGACTGTTGATCTTGCTGGTTTGAATCTAAGGAATACAATTACAAATTACAGGCTGAGACCATGGCCGTCATAAGGTTTCTAATATCTAAGGAAAGCCAGACATTGCTTTGAAGAGAGCCCGGCAAGTAATTGAATACATGCGTGAATAGAATTATTCGTTTCAAATGGAACAATTCGGAAAGGAAAGCTTAGGTAATTCCAACCATATAGACAGACGTTATTCATTCTGTTGGATGACAGATTGGCATTGTTGAAAAGAATTTTTAAATTGCATTTCCAAAGTATCATTTACACTTCATTTAACCTGGTTTGAAACTGTTACGAAAATCTGTCGGCTTTGTGCAGTTATTTGATTTCCATAGAGATAAATCACGGTGTCCCTTCCAGTAGGTTATGTACACGAGACAGAATGATACTTTTTTGGCCAATGTCATCGCCCTTACCAGAGTCATTATCCTTTGTTGCAATGGGTTAATATTGAGCTATGTTGATTTGCAGTTCATCGGGTTGATTTAAGATCTGTGAGGTGGTAGGAAATGTTTTCATTGATAGCCTTCTGACATTCATTCAATCATCTTCACCACTCTCAGATAATGAGCTAACAAACTACAACACATTACAGTAACTCAGACAGGAAAGGTTTGTGGCAGATGATTCTTTTCAAGTTTTGATGAAATCACTGGGAACTAAACCATTCCAGGATGTTGGCAGCTTCAGAAAGTCAAAGCAATTATTGTAGAGATGCTGATGAATTAATCTGATGCACCATAGAGTGGGTGGGCAGATGGGTTCCTGGTAGGGTTCCTGCTATGCCACATACAAAGAAGCACAAGGTCAAGGACTGAAGACAAATTAGAAGGCAAAGCACCGAGTTCTTCTTGTGCATCTCTCGCAACTGGTTTCAAAAATGTGACCTGCAGTATAATGAATTCCATTAAAGACTCAGGCCGAAAGGGAGTACTGTTGTCTTCCTCACGTTGCCTGCCCTCTCTGGAAACCCTTCTAAACTTCCTTGTTCTGATTACTTTCTCTTTGCCTATGGGGATAATAATCCTTCAAAAAAAATTGTTTTTTTGACTGCCTACATACTCAACCCTCTCCCCACCCCCTTATTCTAGCCACCCTGCTTGATACATCATCTGTGGAAAATACTTTGCTCTACTATCCTATGTGAAGGACTCGGTATTAAATCAAACTCCCTTTATAACACTGGGTTGCATTGAACACGATGCGCTGTGAGCGTTGACATTTTATTTACCCAGAGATCCGAAATCCGCTATCCAAATCATTCGTCTCACTTCAAACTGTGCTTCAAATCCCGTGCTTCAAAACATGTTAGCGCAACGATACGATTTGAAGCGCAATGATGTGTCCGCTGATGGAGTCGGTCTGTTAAAAAAGACAGGTTGGAATTTTATGGACCCAAACTGTCATCTTATAACAGGGAGGTTCTTCTGCAAGTGGATGTTGTTGCTTTCGTGTAATATCAGTAGATGTGTGGATTTCAAGCTACAAATGTAATTATTTTCTCTTATTGTTTTTCAGTAACTTTGCCTATTTTGCACATGCCACCATTCGTACTGAGGACTGACAGCTCATATCCAGCTCATCTTTGACGTTGAATCAAATGTATGTGTGTTCTGCTGCTTTAAGGTTCCTCACTTACCAGAATTGTGCCTTTTGAGTGTGGAACGATTGCAATAATCATACTCCTTGAAACCATTCTATTTGCCGAGATCTGATAAACATGTACCTGTTTTTTTATGGTTTAGTTTCAAATTGCTAAAATGTTCGCAGTTATTCTTTTAGATAAATGATTCACTTTAACGTCTGAGTTGTTTGTTGGCACATGGTATAATATGTGGAAGGAATTGATGTAATAGATTTCCACCAAAAATTTTAGGGAACTATTGTAACTACCGTTGTGAAAATGTTAATGTGCATTATACGTGCTGGGTTGCATTGTATCTGATATAGTTGTAACCTTTACTGTGTTGGATCATTCTAAGATGCAGTTGGAAACTACTCTGTGAGCGTAGTGCTCTTCAGAATGACTGTAATGCATTGACACAAAATAAACTCTCATAGTACTGAGTATTTGTAAATCATTCAAATTAACCGATTTCTCCAAGGGTCAGCACACCCAACTGAACAATGCTACACAAAATGTAAGGTAACAGAATGCACTACAATAATATAATAATAATCCTTGCATTTGATATAGCGCTTTTCACATCTTCGAGACGTCTCAAAGCGCTTCACAGAATATATACCGCAAAGTGAATTGACTGCATATTTGTGGGTGAAACGCAGCAGCCAATTGCGCACCGCAATGTCGCACAAACAGTCGCGGATTGAGTGACCAAATTATTATTGTGTTTTTTTCTTGAGGGATTATTATCAGATGTGTGGAGTAAGGAGACTCGCCTAAGGTTTCGCCCTGCCGGGCTTGCGAGGCGAGTGCTACAGGACTCCACATACTTTGTGAATGGTACATTGAAAAGGAAAGGCAATGTAATAAAAATGTAAAGATGAATCTCCATGCTACAAAGGACATATATTCAACGCTGTTTACTTATTGAGTGGAAATGATGTGCAATATCCACTAACAAAATGTCTTATTCAATGTGATTGTTTGTTATAGAAGTAATCTGGTTAATATACAATATGTGCTCCTTACATTTCTGTTCACTGAGTTGTCAATACAGGTATCTTCTTTTGATTTCCTTCAGAAACAAAATGACAGTGGTCGTAAAAAATGCATATTAACAATAATTGGTTTTGGGAGTCTGTCACCGAATTGTAATACCAATCAAGAAGCTCAAATAAGGTCACGTCCTGAATGTAAAGTTAGTGATTGTTTTAAACTCACAGAAGAGACATTTTGTATTTGCGGAGTCTAATGTTGACCTCACCCTTTGTTTTGTTATTTCGATTTTTTTCCTTTGCTCTGTACCCATCTGTGAATGTTACTGCATTGCTGTCAGCTTTCAGTTCACTTCACAATTCCATAAGGGTTGTACCATTGTCAACCGTTGAAAACCCGTAAGGTTTTGAGGTTAATTCCTAGACAAGAACAACGCAATAACCTTTAATGAAAGGCATGCAGTGATTTCTAAGGCCACTGCTGTGGGCCTCCAGAGATGTAATCTACTATTACAGGAGAAAATCTACGCCCAGTATACATTATTAGTCTGGGAATAATATTATCGCCTTGTTGCAATTGGAAAAACATGGTTCAAAAGGGGGCCTGGCAAGCCAAGCCTTGGTATCGACCAATATAAAGAAAAAGCTCAAACATTCACGTCAGGTATTGATTTGTTCTGATCTCTTCAAGGGGAGCTATTAAGTGGAGATTGAGCACTTCTCTAATGGAGAGGAAATAGAGGAAATAGCGTTCATCCCAGCTCATTACATGCTTGATGGATGCTTTACAATTGACTCATTGTGCACCTAAAAGAGGGAGGGAGGGAGGGAGGGATATATTAAATTGCATTCCTTAATTCAGTCTTCACTGCATTATCTTTGTCATCAATCAAATAATGAAGACAAAGCCAGGGATAAATTTACTGCAGAGGAGAATAACTAAAAGTAACAGAACAGCGGATAGAAATAAACAAAATAAAGTCACATCCCTTATTCAGGCCACACAGAAAGTATTTAAGGCCTGTATTTGGCAGCCATCTCATTCAGCTAACTAGAAGGGAGCTGCTTAGCTTTGGGAAGTGCGGTTCACTAGATGACCAGATTGGTTTGGATGACGCAGGCTCTTCGGATCTCGTCCCTTGAGAATGTACACCCTAATGCCCTCCCATCTCTCTCCCCCCCCCCACCAACACCTCAATGCCAGTGTTGTGTCTGTGCCTCTGGCTTCTGAATTCCACTGAGGTAGTGATGTAGCAGCTTCAAGTGATTTTATTCTGAATTGTTTTCTTAGTAAATAGCTGCAATCCCCAAGTTACAGTCAGTCAAATGCTGCAAACAGGAACTCAAATGTGTAGTCAGGCTTCACTGATATCAGCATTCAGATGGGATTTGGGGAATATAGGAACAGGAGTATGCCTTTCAGCCCCTCAAACCTGTTCCACAATTCAATTAGATCATGGTTGATCTGTACCTCAACTCCAATTAATTTCAATTAATTAGGGAGGGGAAAGCCTCCTGCACAGATCTGGTTAATTCACTTTAAGTTGTTGGGGGGAAGGAACATGCCTTCCACACACTCAGGTAATTCCTATTCAATACTTTACAAATTTCTATTGCATGTGAAACCCCATTATTGTCTTTCTGTAAGAAACTCTAGTGTTATTTTATTTTTGCTTACTATTGAGAGTCAGTGTTGGAGATTGTGAATATTTCAATTGCACATTTGACTCCATTCACTAAATGCATAATGTGAGGGGAAAATGATCAGAATACCACTCTTGTATCATGATGCATCCTTATTTAACAGCTAACAAAACTGTGAGGGAAGTGACCAAGAACATGATGGTAGTTTTATACAAAAATTCTCTATACATGACTACACATTACATGATATTTTGGGTCTGTTTCACAATGACTGAGTAAATATCTAAACATCATGTTTTAAGTTCTCTGGAGAAAAATCCAATATTCCTGTTTCCTCAGTGCTTATTCTTTAACGTCAGTAATACATATTCTATCTGTTGTTGCTATCTGTAAATTTTGCTAAAAATCTAATTGGTAAATCTTAGTGCTCCTTTTTGGTTGAATGAAATCTATCAACTGCCTCCTTTCGTTAATGTTATGATGTGATTTGCAATGTGATTTTTTNCACATCCAGTAATTAAATCTATTAAAAGGAGCTTTTGTTCAAAATGCAGTCATTGAAAGATTAGATATTTGATGTTCAGATTCCTTTTAAATAATCTGTGTCCATTTACAGCATTTCTTCACTAAAATATTTTATTGACCAGATTTCTTCCTGACACTGCCTGAACTGCCATTTTGAAGACAGGACTACTAGGGTTTCACATCATAAATTTGACACAGGACTGATAAAAAATGTGTTTATTTTGTTTCTGTCTTGCATCCTGTTTGAGAACGCTGAAGATAATAAATTGACTTAGGTCACATTTCTGGTCCAAAGCTTCTTTGAGATTCAAAGGATTCAGTATGTTCATATAAAGCTGTCGAAAGATTGTAATGTTAGATTCTTCTTCTTTTTAAGTGGCTTGAACCGTTAACCTTCATCAGCAACATTTTACAAACTGTTAATATGCGTGTATATATAATCTAGAGCAAAAAGAAAAGTTTTATTCTCTACTCGTAAGTGAGTCAGTTTGGTTTACTGCAGGTTGAATTTCATGCTGTAGCAGCAGTGCGGTTTGACATGAGCATTTCATAAGCGGAGTTGCAAAAGATATTTAAAAAAGCTGATCACTGGAAATGTGTCTTGCCAATATGTAGGTAACTCCACTTCAGATGTCAATTGCATCAGAGTGGAGTTCCCCTGGACTGGCGTGTTGCAATTCTGGTTCCTAATAGGAGACGTCATTTGGATTACACAGTAACTCTAGAGTTAAAAATTGCTAAAACGGAGATTCACTCCAATGAACACAAAGTGGTGAGTTCATTGAACACTGTACTGATTTATATGTAAAGCTACAAGAAGCTAATACACATGCTGAGTTTATTGCTCTTGTTTCTAAGAGGGATCCTTTAAAACTTTATTTCCCAGAGAATTGATTTTGGCAGATAGAAAATGACTATTTGTAGCTATCTGTTTAAAGTGTGTAATATAGCCTGTATTGTATCCAGTATGCAAAACCACGTAATTGTATGAGAAATCATCACCTTTGTTACTAATACATAGCATTGTTCATATAGAACTAAAGGATTGTGATGAATGATTACACACCAGTTTTGCTCTGTAGATTACTGCGTGACTCTGAAATAAATTTTTCGTAAAACCCACTGAAATCTACGATCGGCTTTTATTATATGGTGTTCAGGTGCAATTCACATCCCATACGGAAAGAGACTTGTACTTTTTTGTCTTTTTATCTTTCTTTTTAAGAACTGTTTAAAAAAAACTTCCGAATTGAGGCGGAATTGAACAATTTTCCATAATTATTTGCAATCTTAAATTTTAAGATACAACAAACTTACGGTCGGTCTAAGAGGTGGAATTTTAATACAATACAATTTTACATTTCCATCTTTCACCTCGAGAGGGCGTCCCAAAGTGCTTGATGTTGCTGACTGGACACCCGAATTAGGGGTGGGAACTGGGGAGGGGGGTAGAAAGGGGAAAGATGATCAAAAGCCTTGTCAAAAAGGTAAGTTTTCAGACAGGCCTTGAACAAGCGGAGAGAGGGATTGAGTTCCGGAGAGAGCGGGCAGAATGGCTGAAACCCTGCCAACACTGATGGTAGGGAGGACACTGCAAGGGACATGAAGCAGGTTAGTGTTCTTTGAGCCCGTATGAGAGGCTCTGAGCCTAAAGTATTACCAATAATAATCCTTGCATTTGATATAGGGCTTTATCACGTCTTCGAGACGTCTCAAAGCGCTTCACAGAATATATTGTAAAATGGCTTGACTGTATATTTTGTGGGCAAACACGCAGCAGCCACTTGCGCACAGCAGTGTCCCACAAACAGTCTTGGATTGAGTGACCAAATGCTTATTTTATTTTGATTATTAGCCCCGGAAAGCGATCCGCCAATCGACTTAACAACTGGGTTCCTGCTTACTGCTAGGTGTTATATCCCAAAACAATGAGGAGTTAATTCTCAGTACTTTTCTCCTTTGTTCACCAGTGGGAGATGTCATCAATAACATTGCCAAGATTACTGCAGGTAAGATTAATTAACTGATGGGAACACAAATCACAACATAAGAAAATGCCACCTAGCCCATCAAACCTGTTTCTCTCATCGCCATGCAAAACCTACACTATGAAGGATTTATCCCACTGTATCTCCTGGGGAAAACAGGCAGTAAAGTATTTTGTAGATACTCCCAATATGATAAAGTAAAACTCCAGAATGTCACTGTGCCACGTTTGAACCTGACTTCCACAATCAACTATTTTCTCCTCATAATGTTGCTCTAAAGTGGAGGAAGTC